GAAGAAAGAAAGAAAAGGAAGGAAGGAAGGAAGAAAAAGATAGATAGATAGATAGATAGATAGATAGATAGATAGATAGATAGACAGACAGACAGACAGACAGACAGACAGACAGACAGACAGACAGACAGACAGATAGATAGATAGATAGATAGATAGATACAGGTAAACATAACCAGAAAGAAAGAAAGAAAGAAAGAAAGAAAGAAAGAAAGAAAGAAAGAAAGAAAGAAAGAAAGAAAGATAAATAGATACAGGTAGCCCTTGACTTATAACCAGAAAGAAAGAAAGAAAGAAAGACAGAAAGAAAGAGAAAGATAAATAGATAGATACAGGTAGCCCTTGACTTATAACAAGAAAGAAAGAAAGAAAGATAAACAGGTAGCCCTTGACTTATAACCATTCAGAAAAAAAAGAAAGAAAGAATATATACAGGTTGCCCTTATAACCGTTTATTAAGAAAGAAAGAAAGAAAGAAAGAAAGAAAGAAAGAAAGAAAGAAAGAAAGAAAAGAAAATACAGATCTCCCTTGACTTACAACCGTTTCATTTAGTGACCATTTGACCGTTACAACAGCACTGAAACAAAGTGACTTACGACCGTTTTTCAGTTATGATCCTTGCAGCACCCTTCCTGGTCCAAATTCGGAGGCTTGGGCAACTGACTCGTATTTATGGCGGTCGCAATGTCCCCGGGTCACGTGATCCGCTTTTGCGACGTTTCGATTTTGCAGATTCCCTTAGCAACCTTATTACTAACCAAGTGTCATTCCCATCCATTTTTTTTGTTTGTTTTCTCGTGTTTTTTTCCCCCTACGTATTATTTATGCGGGCAAAGCAAGGTGGAGGCACCTGGCCCACCCCGCGCAGTGGGCTCCTCCCCGTTTTGTCCCCAGGTTTATTTATTGCCCACCCTTCGTGGTGTGACGTTAAATGGAACAGGCCTTACCGGAAGTTTCGTTTCTATTATGTTGATGAATAAAAACCGGAAAACGGATCAACGGCTGGCAGTTGCCCCAGCTTTGTCAGAGTTTGGGGGGGGGGGGCTGGGTGGGAGAGAAAGTGTTGAGCAGACAACTCTCTCAAGCTCTGCTCACACTCACCCACACGCCTGTCTTGACTACTGCAATGCGCTCTGTACAGGGGGCTGCCCTTGAAAACTACCCGGAAGCTTCAACTGGTTCAAACTGCAGTGGCCTGTCTTGGTTTTTTGCAAGCCTGTTTTTGCACGCGTGTCGCCTCCTTTGTCGGTATCTGCGCCGGCTGCCGCTTTGCTTTCGGGTCCAATTCGGGGTGCTTATTGACACCGTCAAAGCCCTCCCTGGTTTGGAACCAGTTGATCCTAGTTAGATCCACCCAATCCAACAGGCTGGGGAGGCAGGGGGATGTTACGGGGTCCCATTCCCTTGAAGAGGTCCATCTGGTGGGATCCAGGAGGAGGGCCTGCTCTGTGGTGGCTCCCTCCCTGTGGAACATCAACCCTGCGGCGAGGAGATTGGCCCCGTACTCTGCGAATGAGGAGTTGAGGGGCCATATAAATTTTCTTAATAATAAATAAAACAGGAGTTAGAATTGCCCGGGGATGTCAAATTGTCCACAGTCCACCGAGGATCACTTCACAAAACTCAACATTTCACTTCCTTTTTTTTTAAAGTTTTTATTTTCCATTTATTCATACAAAATACAATTAACCATTGGTACCGCCTGCCCATTCCCCCCAGGCTGCGTCTACCTTCTCTAAACCTTCCCTACTTCCCTCCTCTTTCTCTCCTCCCCTCCTACTCTCTTCCCCTCCCCTTCTCCTCTAACCATCCTACTTCCTCCCTACTCCTTCCTCCCCTCTCATCCCTCTCACACACATGAACGCAGCATAGGGGAAAACATTTCACTTCCTTGAAGTGCCTTAGTAGTAGTAGTAGTAGTAGTAGTAGTAGTAGTAGTAGTAGTAGTAGTAGGAAGAAGAAGAAGAAGAAGAAGAAGAAGAAGAAGAAGAAGAAGAAGAAGAAGAAGAAGAAGAAGAAGAAGAAGAGGAGGAGGAGGAGGAGGAGGAGGAGGAGGAGGAGGAGGAGGAGGAGGAAGAAGAAGAAGAAGAAGACAGTTGGAAGGGACCTTGGAGGTCATCTAGTCCAACCCCCTGCTCAGGCAGGAAAGCCTACACCATTTTGGACAAATGGCTATCCAGTCTCTTCTTAAAAACTTCCAGTGTTGGAGCATTTACTGCTTCTGGAGGCAGGTTGTTCCACTGATTAATTGTCCTCACTGTCAGGAAGTTTCTCCTTAGTTCTAGGTTGCTTCTCCCCTTGATTAGTTGAGTAAATGGCTCCTACCCTATGAGTAACCGGTGAGTGGGTTATACCCAGCGAATCCCGCTGGAAGGGTTTCAGCTTGGATGGGATCCTAGAGGCCATCCAGCCCAACCCCCTGCTTGGGCCAGGAATCTACTGGGTGAGATCTGGAGAACAGCCCACCGGTTTTTGTGCTCAGTGGACCTTCTGTGCAATTGGGACCTTCTTTAGAACTGAACGCCTGAGATTGGACAGCCATTTGTCTGAAATGGTAAAGGGTCTCCTGCTTAAACGGGGCTGGACTAGAAGACCTCCAAGGTCCCTTCCAAGTCTATCGTTTTGTTCACAACAGCCATTTTCTGCATCCTGCCCTAGAGATAGGGGGTTGATCACCTGGTGGGACATCTTCTCCAAAGACCAATCTCCTCCTTCCCCACCTGGTCAGCCTTCTCAAGGTTAAAGGTGACCAAATACCTGATCTTCCTTCTTACTGATGACTTCCGGCCTCTCTCCGTCCATCTGCAAGTGCAATATCCAGATTTGGTGCCAAGAAGCCAAACCCAGTAATAGGACTTCCAATGCTTTGAAAACCTTAATGACTCACAAAGTCCATGCTGTGAGCACAGAGGCTCAACCAGGTCAGTTGAAGTCCTGATGTCCGGGTTCACATGACACAAAAGCCGATTGGCTGACTTTGGGCCAATCACCAGGAGACGGTGAGTTCTAGTCCTGCCTGAGACACGAAAGCTGGCTGGCTGACTTTGGGCCAATCATCAGGAGACGGTGAGTTCTAGTCCCGCCTGAGACATGGAAGCTGGCTGGGTGACTTTGGGCCAATCGCCAGGAGACGGTGAGTTCTAGTCCCGCTTTAGGCATGGAAGCTGGCTGGGTGACTTTGGACCAATCACCAGGAGACGGTGAGTTCTAGTCTCGCCTTGGGTACATTTCGCACTCGAGACAGTGGGAGATGCTGCTGCAGAGAATGTACCTATTTGGCTTTAAAACGCCCAAGGAAATGCTTGCAAATGAGGAGAACTAATGAAGGGTCAACACCCGTTTTCCAATTCTGTTTTGGGCTGCTGCTTCTCAACCTTGGCCATGTTCAGCTGGGTGGACGACGACTCCCAGAATTCTGGGAGTTGAAGTCCATCAGTCTTAACGTTGCCCCGGTTGAGAAGCCACTACTAATGCAAAGGGACACCCATCTAAAAGAATGACATTTTACTGAACATTTAATTCCTCCAGTTGTTCTTTTACTACTATTATTATTATTATTTGGAAGGGGGATCTGAAGGCATCCCCGGCTGGCCCTGGGAAATGCCTCGGTTGAGCTGCACGCAAACTGTCTGCTCCAAGGTCCCTTCCAGCTCTATTCCTATTCCTATTCTTTCTTTTTCTATTCTATATTTCTATTCTATTTCTATTCTATTCTGTTGTTCTGTTCTTCATTCCTTCTATTCTATTCCATTCTATATTTCTATTCTATTCCTATTCTATTTGTTCTGTTCTGTTCTATTCTATTCTTCATTCCTTCAATTCCATTCTATATTTCTATTCTATTCCTATACTTATTCTATTCTGTATTTCTATTCTGTTCTGTTCTTTCTATTCTATTCTTCATTCCTTCTATTCTATTCCATTCTATATTTCTATTCTATTGCATTCTATTCTATATTTCTATTCTATTCCTATTCTATTTTGTATTTGTTCTGTTCTGTTGTTCTGTTCTATTCTTCATTCCTTCAATTCCATTCTATATTTCTATTCTATTCCTATACCTATTCTATTCTGTATTTCTATTCTGTTCTCTTTTTTCTATTCTATTCTTCATTCCTTCTATTCTATTCCATTCTATATTTCTATTCTATTGTATTCTATTCTATATTTCTATTCTACTCCTATTCTATTCTGTATTTCTATTCTCTGTTGTATTCTATTCTTTCTATTCTATTCTTCATCTATTCTATTCCATTCCATTCTATATTTCTATTCTATGCCTATTCTATTGTTCTGTTGTTCTGTTCTGTTCTTCATTCCCTCTATTCTATTCCTATATTTCTATTGTTTCTATTCTATATTTCTACTCTATTCCTATACCTATTCTATTCTGTATTTCTATTCTGTTCTTTCTATTCTATTCTTCATTCCTTCTATTCTATTCCATTCTATATTTCTATTCTATTCCTATTCTATTTATTCTGTTCTGTTCTATTCTATTCTTCATTCCTTCAATTCCATTCTATATTTCTATTCTATTCCTATACCTATTCTATTCTGTATTTCTATTCTGTTCTTTTTTCTATTCTATTCTTCATTCCTTCTATTCTATTCCATTCTATATTTCTATTCTATTGTATTCTATTCTATATTTCTATTCTACTCCTATTCTATTCTGTATTTCTATTCTGTTGTATTCTATTCTTTCTATTCTATTCTTCATCTATTCTATTCCATTCCATTCTATATTTCTATTCTATGCCTATTCTATTGTTCTGTTGTTCTGTTCTGTTCTTCATTCCCTCTATTCTATTCCTATATTTCTATTGTTTCTATTCTATATTTCTACTCTATTCCTATACCTATTCTATTCTGTATTTCTATTCTGTTCTTTCTATTCTATTCTTCATTCCTTCTATTCTATTCCATTCTATATTTCTATTCTATTCCTATTCTATTTATTCTGTTCTGTTCTATTCTATTCTTCATTCCTTCAATT